TAGTAGGTTGTATTCGTTCAACATATACATACATAAGTTTAATAAGTAAATGTTTGGCATATCTGTAGCTTTTGTGGCCCATAACAAGTCTCCATGTTTTCAATTAGACGGCTTTTACACCATTCAAGTATTGAATTCAATTCTGCTTTTGCCATTTTTGCTATTTGCTGTTTAAAGAACCAAAAACTTGAATTCAACAAAATGCGTGCAAAAGCAAATAGAACACCAAAATGAGAATGAACCAGATTTGCTTTCAAGTACTTTAATCATGTAAATCGGGTGTAAGAGTTGCGATTATCAGAAATCTACTGGAGTGCACAGCATTGAGAGTAATATAAAGCTGGTGCCAGATAAAACGCTTGCTTCGCTTCTCGTAGCACGCACTGCTAACCACTACACCACAGCGGTAATTTTGAACAATAAATTGCACAAAAAATTTAAAAAATTTTACTCCTTTTTCTATGTTTGTACTGCTTTTTTCTATCGAGAATAGAAATGTACTGCTTTCTCCATTTCAGAATCTGGCAACCCTAGCTCATTGTGGCATATCTTTTGCGTCTGACGCTTTGCTGGCAAAGTTATAAATGTACGAAAATATAATAACATATGTACATTAGACTGCATCACCAAAAAAAGGTTCCGGTTTTCTGCCGAGATTACAAAATTTATTATATTTTAAGACTTCGACCAAAATATTTTGGAAAAATATTAAGATTTACGTGTGCTGGAACGATTGGAAAATACCTCCAAAAATGGAGTTTCTTATGAATAAAAATTGTTTGTTAAAGTGTTCTTTGGAAAAATCCCCTCAGAAGACAAAGCAGTTTAAGCTTTAAAAATCTGCAAGGGGAAAGAGAGGGTGAGAAAATTCCTTTCCAATGATACCCCATAAGTCTAAATCCGTAAAGTTTAGGCTGAGTTATTCAAGTTTCTTTAAACCAGACTTTGAAAGAAGTTCAAACAGCATCAAAAATCTCGCTATTGCGAGTCCGTTGAAATTTTTTGTAATACTCTTATGCAAATTTTATAAGCTTAAACTGTCATCTAGTGATTTTTTGAAAAAAAAACTAAAGAACCATTTTTATTCACAAAAAACTAAATTTTTGGAGGTATTTTCAAATCGGTCCAGCTCACGTAAATCCTAATATTTTTAGGAAATATTTCGGTGATAGTCTTAAAATATAATAGATTTTATAATTCCGGTGGAAAAACAGTACCGATTTTTTTTTTTTTGTATGGGGAGTGATGCAGCCTAATGTAGATACAAACCTATATGGACATTAAATTAATTCTGTAGAAAACCAAATTTTTAAATCAAAGCGAAACATGTGTGTTTAAAAAAAAAGAGAAAAAAAAATAAAAGCTTAAACAGATTTATGTACATACATATATTTAATTTTTTTATTATACTGTATAAAATTAAATGAAATACAAATTAAACATTTAACTTAAAAGCCTAAGGTAGATCTAATAAGATTTCATGAAAAAATTAGAAATGCGTAAAGCACGTTGAATGTACATCTTAACTCATTAATACAGTTTAGAAAACTATTTTTAGGATTATCGAAAACTACTTCTGCTATACATATGTATAAAATACACGCTGATATGCACGCAAAATTTTTCGCTTAACTGCTTCACAGCTACTTTACTAAGTGCGCCTAATCTATTACAATTGCTACTTAATTGCGAAATTTTTTATATACTATTTATTAAAAAAAAATCTCAATGCTTTATCAATTCCTTCCATGCTCCGGTGGTAGCTTACCAAAGGCTCATCAAGAATTCACCACCGGTCGCGCATGATGTGTATGCTGATGTTGCTGTTGCTGCTGCTGCTGTTGTGGTGGTAAGTGATGATGATGCGCTGCACTACTGGCGCTGGTGGCAGCTGCCGAATGCACTGCATGCTGATGCCGCTGTTCCTGTTGCTGTTGTTTTTGCCCTGGTGATTGCCGCAACACCGGATTGCGTAATACCAACTCCGAATCCTCTGATATAATCGGCAATGAGTTAGCCCAATGATAGTTAATCAAATGGCTGATACTATCAAAAATGCGATCCTTCGTACGCACTACACCTTCCGGATCGATAAGTAGTAAATGCTTGGGTGTTTTTACCTCCAAACCGGTGAGCACATACTGGCCATGTTTACCCTGAGATTCACGTACCAAAAAATCGCCATCATTTTTAAGCATACTCTCTGAAATCTGACGACTAATGCCCGTATGGAACCACAATTCGGTGTTGAGTTGTGAACGTTGCACTTCAGCGGAGAGGGAAAATGGTTCTGGTGGAAGAAAAAAAAAGGAATTAGTTTATTGCGCTCCTATTTTATATTTGGTAAGGTATACTTACGCATATCGAAGACATCACGCACGGGCGCTTGTGGCAACGCACATGCGCCCTCCGTATCGGCCATTGGATCGAAGTTGCTGAGGTTCACATTGGCCGAACTCTGATCGGGTGGTGGACTATTCAAATCAATCAGATTACTGCTAAGACGATCACGCGGTTTTTTCAAATTTAGCTGCCCGATTTTGTGTTGAGGTAATTGTGACTGCTGGCTTTGCTGTTGTTGTTGGAGCTGTTGTTGTTGCTGCTGATGTTGTAACAACAATTGCTTCTGCAACTCTGGCGGTAAATCGTTTTCGCTCAGCAAGTCTGGCGGCAATTTGTCGGGCAAATCATTGTAGTAGTCTTTGCTATTCTCCCCGGGCGTGTTGAGATTTAGAACGGCTTGATTTCTGGGGAATTAATAAATAAAATGTGAATACATATTAATAAAATAAAACTAAATTTTGAATACTAGGTACTTAGTAGTCACTAGAAGTGTTGTTGTACATACAAACGGTGGCGGAAGCAAAATTTTAACATGTTTTGCCTATTTTGCTTTTGTTTATTATTTCTTTATCAAAGTATAGCTCACTATCTAAAAAAACATTAAAATCAAAATTTCAAACTTCGTAGAAGTTTTATATATAAAAATTCAACAAATTTCAGCAAATGCTCATCAAAATTTCTAGCTTTTTATTCATAATATAAAAAAATCTAGGTATGCAGTTTTGTAGCCTATTAAATTTTAGAACAATAAAGTTCGAGTTCGAAGTAGCTAGGACTTAACGTTGATTTTTGGCAATTCTTTTTGATGACGGTGTCACGCAATTTGTTCCATACATGAACACCGTCCGTGCAAAAATTGCCAAAAACCAATGGTACGTCCTAGCTACATCAAACTTGGACTTTATTGAATTTAATGGGCTACAAAACTGCATACCTAGCGTTTTTAACTTCTGAATAAAAAGTTAGAAATTTTGATGAACATTTGTTGAATCCGTTGTGTTTTTATCAGTCTTGTACGAAGTTCGAAATTTTGACTTACATGGTTTTTGTAAGCTAGAGAGCTTTACTTAAATTTAATGGGCTACAAAACTGCATACCTAGATTTTTTTTAATTCTGAATGAAAAGNTTGAATCCGTTGTGTTTTTATCAGTCTTGTACGAAGTTCGAAATTTTGACTTACATGGTTTTTGTAAGCTAGAGAGCTTTACTTAAATTTAATGGGCTACAAAACTGCATACCTAGATTTTTTTTAATTCTGAATGAAAAGTTAGAAATCTTGATAACCATTTGTTTAAATTCGTTATATTTTTATTCTGATTAAAAAGTTTGAAATTTTGGTAAAAGTTGGTCGAACTTTCCAAGTTTTTAACGAAAGTTGCTTATATGGTTTTTGCTACCTAACCATACTTTCAGAAAAAATAATAAAAACACATTAAAAGAACAAAAGAAAAATAGCCAAAGCTTTATAAAAAAATGTTGTGTACCTATTTATTTTCCAGCCATTCTAGGTAAACTAGTTTCCGCTTATACTCTTTAAAGAAACTGTATAAACGGAAGCTACTGTGTTCCTATTTTCCTCCACTTCACTTTAACTACGCAATATTTTATACTCACTTCAAATGTTTGATTGCATTAAAGCGCAGCATAAATGCTTTACCGATTGTCAATATTAAGTCTTCACTCTGTCCGCCAATGCACTCGAGCACGTAGCAAGCACGCCACTCGTCCTCATTCTTGGCGA